TATACATCAAGAAGCTCTTTGTGCCAGGGAAAGCAGCAAAAAATTTGACGATGTCCTCAAAGATGTCACAAAAATGGTGAATTACATCATAGCTTGTGTTCTGAATTTTCAAGCACTTCTTGAGGAGGTTCAGTCACATTACAATTGTTTACTTATGTACAATAATGTCCGGTGGCTGAGCAGAGGATGATTCCTGGAGAGATTTGTAGCCTGCTTGGATGAAATTAGGCTGTTTATGAATGAAAAAGGGCAGGAATGTCCACAGCTCACTGATATAGCCTGGCTTACCAACCTCATGTTTTTTTTACAGATTTTACACTACACTTCAATATACTGAACAAACAACTACAAGGTGTAGGGAAAACAGCAGAAAGGATGTTTTGTGATATCAAAACATTTGAGAGAAAACTGCAGGTTTTTGAAAGAGACCTTGAAAGTGGGCAGCTGAAATATTTTCCAAATCTAAAAATGCATTTAAAAAATTCTACAACATTTGCAGACAATCCTACAAGCCATCAGGAAATCTACAAGGAATTTTCTAGCATTGTAGCAGCTGCAAAGGTGAATTTTAGTAACAGATTTTTATAGTTCCATAAGATGGAGACAACCCTGTTTTTTCTTACTTCTCCAGATAAAGCCAAATTTGAAGAACTTGATCTTTCCTGCTTACACTGGTTAGATTTAGGAAATCTAGAAATGGAGCTATTGGAATTTCAAGAAAGCTCTATATGGAAAAATAAATTCTATGACCTGCGTGAAACACTTGAGAAGATAGAAGGGATGACAAAGGACAGCACAGTTAGTTCTGAAAATGAAATCCTTAAAGTGTGGAATTCTCTGCCAAATAATTTTAAGTCAATGAAAGCACTTGGGATTGCTTTCCTTTCTTTGTTTAGATCATCTTATACTTGTGAGCAGCTGTTTTCAGCTTTGAATTATATCAAATCTGACACCAGAAACAGACTAACAGATGACCTGAGTGCTGCATATGTTGCTCTCAAACTTACAAAGTATGAGCCAAGGTTAAACAAATTATCAGCATGCATACAACAGCAAAAATCACATTAATTGTTCAAAAGCATGCCAAATGCAAACTTTTACCTTTCAATAAAAAGTTGTTTGTATCATTGAAAGCTCTGTTATTGTGTTTTTCTTTTAAGACAAAAGATGTTAATGTATGAGTTGTTTTTTCTAAACTAAATCCTCAGTAATCAGGTTAAATTGCCGTGTTGGCACTTTGTAATAAATAAGTGGGTTTTGGGTTGCAGTTTGGGCACTCAGTCTCTAAAAGGCTTGCCATCACTGGCCTAGATGAAGGCTAATAAAACAGAAACTCAATCTTGGCAAAATTGAACTTACTGTTGGTCAACAGAGCATCTACCTTGTAAATTGGGATGTGTTTCCCTTCTGCATTAAGGAATAGTATACAGCCTGAAGATGCTATCTACATTTTTATTATACTTGTGGTGACTTTTCAATAGATTTCTCAAAGATATTTACCTATTATTTCCATTATTGCATAATGTTGTTTGTTATTATCACCCCTGAAAACATTAGGAAATTGCAGTTAATGCAAAATGGCAGCAGGATTACAAATGGAGATTGGGCATGTGGAGCTAATTCCAGTCTTCAATAGCAAGAGGTGCTGACTTCCAAGTTTCTGATCTTTAAAGTTTTCCTTGTGACCAAGTCCCCCTGCTCAGATGTTAAGATCGTCACTAGAGAATGTTTCTCAGGCTTTTACATTGTCTAAGATTAATCACCTTCTATCTTACAGTCCCTTATCTCTGGAATGCTCTCCTTGGATAGGCTGACTTAAATGTTAATTGTGTTTTGTGTTCGGAATGAAAGTTTAAAAAGAGTGCCATAAAGGAGAATTTTAGGTGGCATTGCTCTTCTAGCTATTCAGTTTTCATCATTTATTGCATTTGCTATTACTGATAAGAATTACTGATTCTAGGGACTTCCGGTGGGACGGTGCGCCGATGGCGGCTCTTTTGGAGCC